CCTTACTGAGGAAGTGAATTCTGAACAATGACTTCAAGGAAGTAGAGCCAGAGTCACACAGCTATCTGTAGGGGCCGGGGGACAGAGACGAGGAGGTGAGGCTGGAGAACTAGGGGAGTGCTGTAGACAGTGAGGGTATGTATGTGTGGCTAATATACAGCCTGGTAGTTCGCTTTTTATGTTTTGGCTTTTGAATGAAAGGGAAACCGCTCCCCTTCTCCCACCAAATCTTGGCTAGTTTAGCTATGTTTCCCTAAAAAAACTTAAAGGGACACTGTAGTTTTTTTAAGTGCAAAAAGAATGAACTATGTATCCCTGATTGAACCTTTTTAGCAACAGATTTTGCAGGAAGGAAATGCCATATATAAAAATGGGTTAGAAACACACAGAAAGTTTACACATACATGCACATACACACAGGCACTGAAGGGAACATTCTGGGAGCTACTTTACACAAAAATGCAGGGCTCTAGGTGACTTCTTTATGACAGTCCATATTGTTACTCATTCAATCTATTAAACTAGGATGAATGACAATAAAAATTTCCACATTAGACACAGAAAATAGCTCTAGATTTGTTTACTATTTACGCATTTTACATCATATGATTAACATATAATGCGTGGATGAGTATTTAAAATCACTGAGTTTATAAAAAGTGACTTTTTCTCTAAGTAAACAAGTGTACAATAAAGTAACTTCAAATCTTTTAACCTTAGTAAATACAGGTCCTTATCCTAAAGCAATGCTATCTTTAATTATCACTTATTTGTGAATTGTTAGAAAATAATGACTATCAATCAATTCAGAGTCTGAGTTCTACAAATATTAATCAAGATTTCCTCTAACAAAGGCAATCTCTGGGAACATGTAGATTAAAAGGCCAGGTTCAGAGTAAAATAATATTCTTTATTCACAGTAAGGTCAGATGGAGTTTAGTCAGTCGCCCTGATGTCTTCTTTTCAATAGACAAACTACTTAAACAGGACAATTGAAGGATGACTTCTCTTCAATGTAGGGTAATTATAACTTGTCCATAATGTAATGCAGTGACTCGACTATGTTATTACTTCAAAATAAAAGTAGCATATGATGTGTTTATGACAATGGAATGGAAAAGCCATCAGCATTAACTTCTTATGACTATCTGCATCTTTCTCACATTTTATGACTACTGCCTGTAGGTCTCAAATATAAGGAAGAATTTGCCAGTGAAAATGAGTTACTCGCAAAGGTTATAAAAATATCTTAAAGATCTTTCAGTAAAAGCATAAATGTTCACCCTCAGGGATGACTTGGCATCATCTGACCTGAAAGCAAGAATACAAAGTAGAAAACTCTTCAGGTCTAATCTATCCATGTTATTCTTGAAGCCAAAAAAGGCTAAAAATCTTTTTTCTTTTGTCCTATAATCACCCTTCTCTTTAACCATCACTCTCTCTTCTGCTAGACATGAGACTACAAATTTGCTGACATAAATGAATTTGTCCTCTAACTGCTTTCATTATCATTATAAAACTACAATATTTGTTAAAAACTAATTTGAAACTGTTTTACAGCAAAATTTTCAAAACCCAGCCTAAATTAGGTAAAGCAATGATATCATTTAATCAGCTATATGACCAGGTATGTTTTGTTAATCTATTACCTAGATGAGGAGTTTATGTTTCAAGCAAAATGTAATATGTGTATTGATGTCTACAACTTCCCTGGAAATGCATCAACAAATAAGAGGGGTTGATGTCTGGGTAAAAGGATAAGTAAGTGATAAAGCAAAAACAGCAAAATGTTAACAACTTTAGAACCTTGGAGGCGGCTATATGGGTGTTGACTGTGACATTGTTTCAACTTTTTTATATGTTTGAAATTTTGCACAATAAATTGTTGGGGAAAATATTATCACATTTGAAACCCGTTTTAAATGGCAAGGGAGAAATGTCAAATCCCACAGAAGAATTCTGCAAAAACCAATAGGCAAGACTTTTGCAGCTTATGTTTGTTGAGCTGAGGGAAAAAAAAAAAAAAAGATTACCATAATCCCTTTATCTGTCTAGCTCCAGAAAAGTACAAACAATTTCCACTCTTATTGAGAAATAATGGCAGGTGAAAGCGTTGTTTGTTAAGAATTCTACGTGGTGAAACTAAGTTCCTTTGGCTAAATTTTGAAGCTTAAAAACAAATTATTACTGTTATTTCAGACAATGTTTCACTTCCTTGATTACCCAGAATAACTTTATTTCAATACAGATATATTTCCTGAAAGGAGATAAACCACACCTTCTTCGGATTACTTAATCATCCTTTTTGGCAGTGTCCTTTCACTGTGAATCTATCTGAAAATATTATTTTTTTAAATCTGAAAATAAAAAACACAAATGATCAACATGTTGGAAAATGTGTTTACCTACTCAATAGCGTGCATATGAACTATATGTTTTGTGTGTTACAAGCCTTTCAATATAAATGACCTTCTAAAGCGGCACTGAGACAGGCATATTTATGTTTGATATTCCATTAATGACTTTTTGGTAGTTATTTAAAACATACCACCCTCTGTATTTAATAAAGATGGAAAAATACGTAACTCAGCTACTAGTGGATAATAATGATTTATGCAACAAACATTTAATACCTTATGTGCGAGGGATAGTGCTAAACCTTAAACATCAGAATACAAATAAGATGCAGTCCCTGAATTGACTAAATCAATAGTTTGGTGAAGAAGAAACACAAATGAACAAATATAAAATCTCATAAATTGGTTAGTAAGTATATGTAGAGTAATACTGTAATAGAGGAGAAACCTAAATTAGCTTAGCGGGGTGAGGGTCTCTTGGAAGGCTTCCTGAGCTTGGTCTTAAAGAATGGGTATTAGTGATCTAGTCAGGAGAGAATGGGAGACAATATTCTATGATGAGGCAGCAGCACAGAGGAACAAAGCAGCATGTTGTGGGCAGAGAACTATAAGCAATTCAGTATTGCTGGAGAGAAAGCTCATGGTATGGAGTGAAGAGAGCTGATGCTAAAAAGGTAGGCAGTGGCCACACCATGAATGATCTTGTGGGGTATGTTAACAAACCTGGACTTTCTCTTGGTCTCAGAAGGATCTAAAAGGGGTGTGATATTTTCAGATTGTGTACCAACTATAACTCTCTGACTCCCTTGAGTGAAGGAGACATGATGATCAGCTACAAGAGTGACAAAATGAGGACCTGAAAACCAAGATGGTGACAGAGGGTATGGTTTCCATTGAGATATACAGGCAGACAGGACAGGCTGGATGTAGGGGTGACTCCCAAGTGTCTGGCTGGGGTTAATCTGTTGATGACAATACTGTCCTCAACTACTCCCCCCTCCATCCAAGTAGCTAATATGGAAAGAAAAGCAAAATTGAAGGGGAAGGTTATGGATTCAACGTTGGAAGTGCTGAATATGACTCCGGGTTACCTAGGTGAAGATTTCCAGCAGAAAGTTAACAAGAAGCCAAGAGGGAGGAAGTCTGGATAGCAGGCTGAAATTTGAATCTGCAAAATATTAGAGACACTAGGAATTTTGAGAGAACAGTCAGTTTTTTGGGGGTTTTGTTTGTTTTACTTAAGCCATTCTAATAGGTGGGTAGTGGTAGCTCATTGTAATTTAAATTTTTATTTCCCTAATATCTAATGATGTTTAGGATCTTTTTTTGTTTGTTTAGGATCTTTTAAAATGATTATTTGTTATTTGTGTATCTTCTTTGGTGTCTATTCAAATCTTTTGCCCATTTTTAAACAATGAGCTGTTTTATTATTGCTTTTTGAGTGCTCCTTATATATTCTCCACACAAGTCCTTCATCAGATACATGCTTTGTAAATATTTTCACAGCATGTGGCTTCAACATTCTTCTGAAGAGCATACATTTTTACTTTGTTGAAGTCCAATTTGTCAATTTTTTCTCATCATGCTTTTGGTCTAAGAAATATTTGCCTACATAAGGTCACAAATATTTCCTCCTATGTTTTCTTCTGGTATAGGTTTAGGTTTTTCATTTACATCTACGATCCATTTTGAGTTTTCTGGAGCGTGTATGTGGTGTGAGGAATAGACCAACGTAATGAGAGGGGATAAAACCAGCCACGAAGAGTTTATAGATAGGAAGTGCAAAAATGTGGATGGAACCTGGGAATGAAAAAAAAGCCAAGATTCAAGGAAGCAGAGTTTGGCATTGTGGGGGAGGCAACAGGAAAATTCTGAGTAACCAGCACTGCCTGCTGAGAAAAGCAATGACAGCTGTCTTTTCAACTTGGATGAGGTCACCTTGGGAAGAGCAGTTTCAGTCAAAACAAATCTTCTCTATTCATAATCACATGTAACCAACAGCTTTATAAGAATTCCCCCGGCAGAAACACTTGAGAGGTCTGAACTCCCTGAGCGCTATTAAAGGTCATTTCTTTAGGTACAGGAAAATCTGGGATTCCTGACACTGAGGGTGACCGAAGCATCCTTGGGGCACTCCAGGCATAAGGTCAAATCAGAAGCACACTCACTGCTGGATTTGCCAATCTGACGCTTCACCAGGAAGACACCTAGTTGAATTACAGGAGGATGAGAAGGGGGGATTAAAATCTGTGCACTCGGGCAAATCAGGGGACAAATCAGGAAAATCCTTCCCGTCCTCCCAGTTTCTGGAGAGGAGGAGTAGGACGCAGGGCCCCTCCAGACTTCCTCCCACGTGGCTCCTCTCCGGCTAAGAGCTACTGCACTTACCCAGGCTTAGGAAGCGGGTGTTTAAGCCATGGGTTAGGGGGCTCGTGAGCACGCCCGATCCTTTCCCTGAGGCAATGAAAGGGGTGCTCCACGGACTCCTCTCGGCCGACTGACCTTTCGCCGCCCTGCCCCAGCGGCCGACGGGTTTCTACCCGTGGAGCGGGGGTCTAGTCTCCGCAGCCCACTAGCGGCTAGCCCGGCCCCCTCCCGCTAGTCGTAAAGTGCAGTAAAGGCACCAGCATTTTGCGGCACCGTAGGTGAGGCCGGCGGCGTGGGTCCTTGCGGTGCACGGAACCGGCGCTTTGGTAGTTCCTTCTGAGGAAAGGCGGTAGTTTGGAATTTGGAAAGGCCAGGGAACTAGGTACGATTCTGTCAGCGGGTAATTGGCTGCTCCTGGGTTAGTGTAACAAGCGGTAAAAGTGGTAGGGTTGTTTAAAACCTCTTATCCCAGTCCTTAAGCGTGACATAAGCTTCCCAAACCCCTCCTTGTGACTTGCCGCTTCTCTTGTGCTACTTTGGTTGTCACCTTCGTGTTCATCACTAGATTTTAGGTGTCCTCGGTGTAACTGACGGTTTTTCTGTCCACTTCGTCTTGCAGTCTCTCTTCTCCTGAAGTTTGAAATGCTTTATCTCATCGGCTTGGGCCTGGGAGATGCCAAGGACATCACAGTCAAGGGCCTGGAAGCTGTTAGACGCTGCAGTCGAGTGTATCTAGAAGCCTACACCTCAGTCCTGACTGTAGGGAAGGAAGCCTTGGTAGGTGCTGAGCGTTCCCCAGCCTCCTGGGAAGAAAGCTATCTAACATCTGATTTTCATACACTAAGCTGAACAGAATTTTCAGGTCTGCTTGTTTAAACCCTTTGAAACGCATCCTTTGTTCATTAATGATCTGAGGAGCAGAAGAATGGAAATTATACACCAACCAAGTGACTTGGAAAATGAAAGGGTGCTTTGTCCTATTTTACAAGTCTAATTTTGTGGCTTTCTCCAGTAAATAGGAAAGCCATTTTATACTCTTGGGGGATAGTTATCAAAACCCCTTATTTCATGAGGTAGTCAAGAAATCCTTTTTGAGTTGAGTGCTAATGAGGTGCTGACACAGCCTTAATGAGTTGGTTATATATTCAGAAACCAAGCTGAAAGCTTCCTCCTTTGAAGTATGTCCATAGGGAATGGTGATTGCCTTTCTATATCATATCCAGAGAGATCTTACCTTAAATAGACTATCTCCCAATAAGGCTTATACTGATACACTTGTATACATTGAGTGAGCCTGGACTTAATATATACAAATGTATGAGTATACAGTTATATGAGTATACACCAAGTAACCAGAATATTTGTTAGTGTATTATACATTTAGTTGGCCCTCATAAGGGCCCAGTAAATTTGGGGGAAGGGTCAATTTCAGGTTCATTGTCAAACTCTTAAGTAGAATGTAAATCAAATGATTAATACATATGTTATGGGAGAAGAGAGTAGATTTTTAGAATTGTCTTTGTCCTGTCTTCCAAACAAAAAATTGACTTAAAATTTTTAGGCCTTAGATTACTTTAACATTTGAAGAAGGAATTAAGAACTGCTACTTGAATTGGCCATGCATTTAAATAAAAGTTGTGTGTAAAGACCAACTTTGATATATACATATACGTGGAGAGAGAGAGAGAAAGTAAGTCTTGCCCTGTTGCCCAGGCTGCGGTGTAGTGGTGCCATCATGGCTCACTGCAGCCTCAACCTCCTGGGCTCTAGTATCCTCCCACCTCAACCTCCTGAGTAGCTGGGACTACAGGTGGGTGCCACCGTGCCCAGCTAAGTTTTTTGTATTTTTTGTAGAGACAGGTTTTTGCCATATTGCCCAGGCTGGTCACAGGTTCCTGGACTCTAGCGATCCGCCTGCCTCAGCCTCCTCAAGTGCTGGGATTATGTAGGCATGAGCGACCACACCCAGCCTAAGACCAGCTTTCATTAAAAAAATTTTTTTTCCTCATTTTTTCACTCATAGGATAGAACCAAAATATCTAAGCTCAGAATAATAGAATTGTGCCTCTCTAATCAGTAATTAAGGAAAAGTAGAAGGAACTTAATACCATCAAGAAAAGAGAGACAAATAACAAAACAGCAGTTTGATAGAATGACATATCAGGGGATGGCATAGAGGAAAGTTTGGATAAAGTTTTATCTTTGCTTTGTTACATGTTATTGTGACCTTGGACAAGTCCTTTAACTTTAGTGACTTTTCTAAATAGGGTAAAACCCACCTACTTTAGGTATTGAGCATAGGTCTTAGCATAGGTTCTTAGCTATGGTACGTGGCACAAAAGTGTTCAGAAATAGAAATTGTCAATGGTCACATTTCCAAACTTCTCTGAACCTCAGTTTCTTCATTTGTCAAGTGGGAATCCAAGCAGTTCTCCTGTCTCAGCCTCCTGAGTAGCTGGGATTACACGCGTGTGCCATTGTGCCTGGCTAATTTTTGTATTTTTAGTAGAGATGAGATTTCACCATGTTGGCCAGGCTGGTCTCGAACTCCTGACCTCAGGTGATCCACCTGCCTCGGCCTCCAAAGTGCTGGGATTATAGGTGAGAGCCACTGCGCCCAGCCGAGGTCTGCCACTTTTGACCTCTACACTGTACTGTGTCTCTGTATTCTTAAGGATAGATAATAGCTACACAAAGTGTAACTTCACAGAACACCTACAGAGAAGGTAGGATTCAAGCAAAATGGTCAATGCTGGATCCTGCCCTGCTTAATAATTTATTCATGTACTCCTTTGTTTGACAGATATTATTGAGTACCAGATACCATTGCACTACAGCAATTCTTATAACTTTTAATAACTCACTCAAAGTTCTCAGTATGTAAGAAACCATATTATTTATCTATGCATCCAGTTTTACTCCATTTGAATTACTTATTACTTCTCAGGAAATCAGTTTTAAGATTCATGCCTCTTCATTCTGTACTGGCTGATGAAATGAAAAAAAAAAAGGATTCATGATCTTGCGTAACAGCCTGTAACCACTATCAGATGACTACCAGCTTACTAGCTCACTCTCTACTGGATTTGTTCTCTAGAGTTGAGCTATAGGGAATTAAATCACAAAGCAGTTTGTTTGCAAACTTCCTATGTATTTAGAATTCAGTTATTGCCCTTGCAACTCTTGCCGTTTTAGCAGAAGACAGAGGAATATACTTTATATTAGCTATCTTGCATTTATTGTTGAAGTTCAACTGGGTTCTTGTAAACAGCTTAATTTTCTATTGTTTCTCATTGGTGCTGCCTTGTTTTTTTTAGTGAGTTTCCATATGTTGTAACCAGCTGAAAATTTGAATAAAAGCTAAACCACCATATTTGTTTAAACTTATTGTTTAATATATTTATTCCATATTACATCATGTTTCTGAAGTAGGGCTCATGTGTGTACATATTCCGTATTCATCCTATAGTGTTCTACTTGGCCTTTAGAAACAAATTTAGAAATAAATTAAAAATGCAAAAAGCCTCAGATGTTTAGAGGTCTGTCTCCTTTGGGATATTAAGACAGCCCCAAAGACAGAGTTTAATTGCAACATGATATAAAGTACTAGCTCACTGATGAGTTGTATTGAACGATCTGTGTTTGGGTGGTTGCCAAGATATGCACCAGTCCCAAACAAACTGTGTGTGTGTGTGTGTGTGTGTGTGTGTGTGTGTTAGAATGGTCACCTGCTGTCTTTTTATCTTGATATTGCACTTATATCTGTAGGAAGAGTTTTACGGAAGAAAATTGATTCTTGCTGATAGAGAAGAAGTGGAACAAGAAGCAGATAATATTTTAAAGGATGCTGATATCAGTGATGTTGCGTTCCTTGTGGTTGGCGATCCGTTTGGGTAAGTCAAGGCAGATAGTTTTGAGTTTTTAACTCATTTACTTTTTTTTAATCAGTAAGAATTATTCTATTGCATTTAAAACTTACCTGCCAGGAACTCTGTTTACTTAAGCTCTATCTAAAATGTTGTAGTTTAAACTTTCATGATCTTTGAGATTAATGAAGAAAAGCTACTTGGTAAATATATCATCATATGTATCACTGTATTATCAAGTGTCAACTGTAAAGTTTGTATCATTGCTTCTGCTGTTTTAGAAGGTCATGTAGGGCAACAAATGCCTTAACTGGTATATCATTATTAAATAGTTCATTACAGTTCATTACATTATCAAAAGTCACGCCTGCCATTTGCTGCTGATAATTTCAAGCATCTTTGACTTCTTTTCTCCTGGGTTTTTTTTTTCCCTTTTGTAATCATCTACCATTTGGCAATACTGCCATCACTTTGCTTGCCTTGAATTTGTCGTTTATCAAGTCTCTGATTTCAATTTATTATACCCATTGGGAACCCTGTTCTTTGTCATTACCATGAAGATGGGCTTCTACTGCCTAGTCAAGTATCATCAATCTCTAATGTCAAGTCAAACAGAAGAGTTTTTTGTCTACAGCTGGTTACCTGAGATTTATATCACAGATTTAAGGAACATAAGGACCATGTAAGACCTTGGAGGGGACTAGGAATTTAATTTAAATATAGTGGTAAACTTTTGCAGGATTCAAAGCAGAAAAAGTCAAAATCTGATTAGCATTAAAAGATCACTCTAAATGCTTAGGTAAATGGATTTCAGGGAGGCAGGAATGTTTTGGGTGGAAAAGAGAAAAAGATGGGAACATATTTAGAAGAAGAATGCCAAGATAGATGTGGTAGATAAGGAAAAGGAAAGGAGTAAATCTGACTCCCAGGATTCTAGCTTTATAAATGAGTGGTTGATAGTGTCACTTGAAAACTGGTAAATAACAGGATTTGGAGAAACAAGAATTGGTTCTGGAAATATGTTAACTTTGAGATGTCAAGTAGGCAGTTAGCTGCTGCTAGAGCTTGGGGGTGGGAGGTCATCCTAGATAAATGGCTTTCGAAGTCATCAGTATGTTTATGGTGTTTAAAGCTGGAGGAATGAGTAGAATCAGCTTAGGAGAGAAGAATGGGAAAAGAAGAGGACCTAGGATAGCCCTAGGAAACCTTGGAATTTCATCGTGTACCTAGAGCCAGAGGAGGAGGGAGAAAAAGCAAGAGAGTATGTTGTCACAGAAACCAGGAAAAGAGACTGTTTCAAAAAGGAAGGACTGAATAGCTTCAATATAATACTGAAAGTTTGACTGTAAGATGAGGATAGAAGTATGTGTATGAATTTAAAGACACGATGTTTGGAGTTGATTAGTGGTGGTTTTATGGAGGGGTTGGAACCTGAGCTGGGTCTGGCTAGAGTTCAACAGATAGAGATTATGGGGTGGGTCAGGAGAAAGATAGAAGGAAGAATGCTCATATAAATGAAAAAACTGAGGTACAGAGAAAGTACCTTAATGTAATTGCTCCCATGCTCAAAAACCTTCAGTGACTTCTCATGACCTTAAATCTTGAAGTCTTTCTTTGTTCTCTAGCTACTCTAACTGCTATGGTAGAACCAAATTGTGCAACTTTCCATTTCATAAGTGTTTTATAATATTCTTCCCCCATTTCTTTGCTCAAGCTTTTTCCTTAAAACAGCTCTTCTCAGTTCCTAATTATACCTAATTGTACTATAAAATTAGTATACAGCTCAGATGCTACCTGTTTCATTCCTGTTTTATTCAGGAGTGCCTTTTTTTTTTTTTCATTTTAAACTCCTTTAATTTGCTGTTTCTCAGTGATTCATCATATATAACCTTGTGTTTAAATTCAGATTTAAGGAATATTTACTGTACTGCAGTTATTTTTTATTTAAGAGCAGATTATTGTTAGGATGTAATAGTTGAAAATGGCATGGTGGGGAATGTGTAATTTTAATTGGAATTTGAGTGGATTAAATGGAGGAGAAGTCAGGTAAGGAATATAGACGGCAGCAAGGCATTGAAATTCTTAGATATCAGCCAAAAATATCCCTTATTTAATTTTAAGACCCCTTCTTATTTAAATAAAATATATAAAAAGAGAAGATTGTTTAAGATGCTGAATCTTAAATTCTTTTTTTCAATATTTTTAAAATGGTAAAATGACACATGACAAAATGTGTCATTTTAACCATTTTGGTGTGTAGTTCAGTGGCATGCTAAGTACATTCACATGGTTGTGCAATTATCAGCACTGTCCCTCTCCAACAATATGAAGTTCTTGAAGACAATTAAAAGTCATGGTAAAGTAAGTTCATGTAGTCTCATCTTTGTTCTTCTACCTAGGTTATTGAAAGGAATATGGAAATAGATCACACAAAGAAAGTAAATGAGTCTAAAAAAATACTAAATCAATAGAACTTAATCATTATGATAGTTGACGGTCTCAAACATTCTATCCCTAAATCTCTGCATAAGAAGTCTTTATTAAACACACTGTTTCTAATGATGGTTCTGTTTTATTATTCCATTCTGTATTTCAATATGCTCTGTAACTATATTATTATAATGAATACATAATTTTTATCCCTATGTTGTATGCCTTTTCCTTAGCAGCATACATGTACAGATAATATGTCCTGATGTAGGCTGTGTGACTGCTTCCATTTCCATGTAATGAATGTGAACAGTGCTTGGCACCTAATAACTATAAAATCAATGTCAGCATTATTATTAGTCCATTTTTCTTCAATATAAATAAAGCTGTCACGTATAAATTTATGTATATAATACCTTCCTCCCTCCCACTTCTTTATCCCCATATTTTAGATTGTTTCCTTATGGTAGATCCTCCAAAATAGGTTTTTTTAGGAATAAAATATCAAAAAGTGTGGACATGGAGATTTTCTAGCAAAAAGCATATTGTCAATTATTTTTCAAAAGGATAGTGCCAATTGTTAGTGCTTCCATAGTTCATGAAAACATCATTTTCACTATATCATTGCAAACATTACTGAATTTCTGGACCACCAGCAATACTTACGTCAAAAAGGGAGGCACTATAACATTTAAAACAAACATACCGGCTGGTGCGGTGGCTCATGCTTGTAATCCCAGCACTTTGGGAGGCTGAGGTGGGTGGATTGCCCGAGCTCACGGGTTTGAAACCAGCCTGGGCAACATGGGTGAAACCCCGTCTCTACTAAAAAAAATTTTTTTTAATTAGCCAGGTGTGGTGACAGGTGCCTGTAATCCCAGCTACTCGGGAGGCTGAGGCAGAAGAATTGATTGAACCTGGGAGGTGGAGGTTGCAATGAGCTGAGATTGTGCCACTGCACTCCAGCCTGGGCAACAGAACAAGACTCTGTCTCAAAAAAAAAAAAATCAAATTTTGTATATTCAAATTGGCCACCTTTGTGTACTTTTATCGATTCCATTAATCAAAACATTTTTGGGTCTCCTTTTTTGAAATTGCCTTTAGAACAATTTCAAGTAACAAGCATATTATTACAGATTTATTACTATTTCTGAACATACATACATATACACATATATGATTTTAGATAGAGCCATATACCTAGAAATAGTAAATGTGTGTGTGTGTATGTATGTGTCTACTCATTTTAAATAAACTTGTGATAGAGATGTAATTTTGAACCAGATTTTCTTTTTCATGTACTTAAATAACTCACCAAGTAAGTAATTTAGTTTTCTTTTTTTTTTTTTTGAGACGGAGTCTTGCTCTGCCACCCAGGCTGGAGTGCAGTGGCCGGATACTCTTAATGTTAAGTAGTGAGATTCTGTTGAAGGTGATACTTAAAAAAATTCTTTATAATTGATATTCATGTTTTTTTTTTAAAGCTTATTTGAAATCAAATTAATGATTATGTTTCATACTAGTTTTATTTTATGTATGTGATTAAAAACAAGCTTCCTTGGTGGGCATTTGTTAATATATATCTGACTGCTTCACGGGGTGAAAGCCCTTGATCTTCCTACTTGGTATGCACTGACCAGTCGACAGGTTCTGCTTGTTTGCATGTGATTTCTCAGACATGCTAATGTTGCTTTACCCAGTAGGGCCTGGAATTTTTATCAAGAGGGAAAAATGTCTTTAAAATGCAGTTCTAAATTGATAAGGGGTTACATTTCACTGTGTTCATATTTATCTATATTCTCTCTTTACTCCAATCTACCTACTTATAATCTTGAGATTTATCTTAAAAAAGGAAAGACAGCAGGTCAGATATGCACAGACATGTACATGTGCATACACACATCCTAATTATACACAGTAATCAAATGAAAACAGTTATAAATAAAATGACTGCTAGACAGGTATAAAATCCAATATTATATGACATAGGACTCTCATGTAAAGACTGAGTGACAAGCTGTGAAAATTTATCCTCAGGCATACCTTGTTTTATTGTGTTTTGCTTTATTTCATTTCACATACATTGCATTTTTAAAAAATTGAAGGTTTGTGGCAACTTTGCATTGAGCAATCCTGTTGGTGCCATTTTTTCTGACAGCATGTTCTCACTTCCTGTCTCTGTGTCACATTTTGGCAATTATTGTGATATTTCAACCTTTTTCATTATTACATCTGTTAAGGGTGATTTGTGATCAGTGATCTTTGATGTTACTATTATGCTTTGGGTTGCCACAAACCAAGTGCATATAAAATGGTGAACTCAATTGATAAATGTTGTGTGTGTTCTGACTGCTCCCACCAACCAGCCATTCCCCCAACTCTCTCTCTGTCTCCTTGGGCCTCCCTTTTACCAGAGATACAACAATATTGAAGTTAGGCCAATTAGTAACCCTACAATGACCTCAAAGTGTTCAAGTAAAAGAGTCACATGTCTCTCACTTTGAATCAAAAGCTAGAAATGATTAAGGTTGGTGAGGAAGACATATAGAAAGCCAAGAGGCTGGGTGCAGTGGCTCACACCTGTGATATCAGCATTTTGGGAGACTGAGGCAGGCAGATCACCTCAAATCAGTAGTTCAAGACCAGCCTGGCCAACATGGCAAAACCCCGTCTCTACTAAAAAATACAAAAATTAGCTGGGCATGGTGGCGGGTGCCTGTAATCCCAGCTACTCGGGAGGCTGAGGTAGGGAGAATTGCTTGAACCCGGGAGGTGGAGGTTGCAGTGAGCCAAGATCGCTCCACTGCACTCCAGCCTGGGTGACGTAGCCAGACTCTATCTAAAAAAGAAGCCAAGATAGGCTGAAAAACTAGGCCTTTTTCACCAAACAGCCAAGCTATGTATGCAAAGGAAAAGTTCTTTTTTTTTTTTTTTTTTTTTTTTTTTTGAGAAAGAGTTCACTCTGTCACCCAGGCTGGGGTGCAGTGGTGCGATCTTGGCTCACTGCAACCTCCACCTCCCGGGTTCACGCCATTCTTCTGCCTCTGCCTCCCGAGTAGCTGGGACTACAGGCACCCGCCACCACACCCGGCTAACTTTTTGTATTTTTAGTAGAGATGAGGTTTCACTGTGTTAGCCAGGATGGTCTTGATCTCCTGACCTCGTGATCCGTCTGCCTTGGCCTCCCAAAGTGCTGGGATTACAGGCGTGAGCCACCGTGCCTGGCCAGAAAAGTTCTTAAAGGAGATTAAAAGTGCTACTCTTAGAAATGCACAAATGATAAGGAAGTAAAACAGACTTATTGCTGATAGGGAGAAAGTTTTGGTATTCTGTATAGAAGATCAAACCTGCCACAATATTCCCTTAAGCTAAAGTCTAATCCAGGGCAAGGCCCGAACTCTTTTCAAGTCTGTGAAGGCTGACAGGGGTGAGGAAGCTGCAGAAAAATAGTTCCAAACTAGCCGAGATTGGTTTATGAAGTTGAAGGAAAAAAGTTGTCTCTATAACATAAATATGTGAGCTTTTATGGATAACAAAATGTGGAAACAAGTTATCCAGAAGGTCTAGCTAAGATAATTGATGAATCACGTCACAGTAGATTTTCAATGTGGATGAAACAGCCTTCTATTGGAAGAGGATGCCTTGTAGGACTTTAATTGCTAGAGAGGAGAAGTGAATGCCGGACTTAAAAGGACTGGCTAACTCTTGGTAGGGCTAATGCAGCTGGTGACTCTAGGTTGAAGCCATTGCTCATATATATAACCTTATGAAAATCCTAGAGCCTGTAAGAATTAACCTAAATCTGTTCTCCCTGTGTACTGTAAGTGGAACAAGAAAACCTGAATGACAGCACATCTGTTTACAGCATGGTTCACTGAATATTTTAAACCCACCCTTGAGACCTACTGCTCAAAAAAATAGATTTCTTTCAAAACATTATTGCTCATTGACAATGCACTTGGTCACCCAAGAGCTCAGGCAGTGTACAAGAAGATTACTGTTGTTTTTATGCCTGCTAACCCAACATCTATTCTACAGCTCATGGATCAAGGAGTAATTTTGACTTTCAAATCTTTTTATTTAAGAAATACATTTTGTGAGGCTATAGCTGCCCTAGATAGTGATTTCTCTGATGAGTCTGGGCAAAGTAAATTGAAAAAATTCCAGAAGGGATTCACCATTCTAGATGTCATTTAAAATACTCATGATTCATGAGAGGAGGTAAAAATATCCACATTATTAGGAGTTTGGGAGAGGTTGATTCCAACCCTCATGAATGACTTTGAGGACTTCAAGACTTCATTGCAGGCAGTAACTATAGATATGGTAGAAATAGCAAGAGAACTAGAATTAGAAGTGGAGTCTGAAGATACGACAGAATTACTCCAATCTTAGGATAAAACTTGAACAGATGAAGAGTTGCTTTTTAAGGACGGGCAAAGAAAGTGGTTTCATGAGATGAAATCTATTCTTGATGAAGATACTGTGAACATTGCTGAGATGACAACAAAGGATTTAGAATATTACATAAACTTAGTTGATTAGATTACTGGCAGGGTTTGAGAAGATTGGCTCCAATTTTGAAAGAGGTTCTACTGTGGGTAAAATGATATCACACAACATTGCATGCTACAGAGAAATCTTTCATGAAAGGAAAAGTCAATCAATGCAGCAAATTTCATTGTTTTATTTTAAGAAATTGTCACAGCCACTCCCATCTTCAGCAACCACTACCCTGATCAGTTAGCAGCCATCAACATGGAGGCAAGACCATCCACTAGCAAGAAGATTACGACTCACTGAAGGCTCAGATGATTGTTAGCATTTTTTAGCAATAAAGTATTTTTAAACTAAGATGTGCACATTTTCTGGACATGATGCTATTACACACTTAACAGACTACAGTTTAGTATAAACATAACTTTTATATGTATAAGAAACTAAAATAATTAATGTGGCTGACTATATTTTGATATTTACATTATTGTGGTTATCTTGACCCAAACTTGCAGTATCTTCACGGTATATCTGTATATTCTGCCTTATATTTTAAATACAAAAACAAAGCCTTCAAAATAGAGCAGTGATTCTAGTTGTGCCCTAATTTAGAATTTTAGAGCAGTAATTTTAAGAATTTAAAAGGGCTCTGAGACCAAAGAGCTTAAGAATTGCTGCTCAAGAGTTAAGTTGCTGAACTTATATTTCTTAGATGTCTTTTCAGGTATTTACAGGACAAAGGGCAAGTAAAGGTCCCTTTAAGTAGCTGCCAAGGCTGCTTTCGGAGTGTTATAGTAGCAACTCAGCATTTTGAAGGGCATGTTTAGTCTTGCATTTTCTTGCTAAAAAGCTCGGATGAAACCTTTATGCAGGTGTGTAGAAGAATTTGAAGAAATGCAGTGCTCCTATCTCTTTAATTGACATGAACTCAGGAAATATTATAGCTTTACTGTCTTGAAAGTGTTGTTTGCTTTAATCCAATCTAATCTTTTCTTACTACAGGGCTACAACACACAGTGATCTTGTTCTAAGAGCAACAAAGCTGGGAATTCCTTACAGAGTTATTCACAATGCCTCCATAATGAATGCTGTAGGCTGCTGTGGTTTACAGGTAATGCAACAAAGGAGGTTTTTCAGTGGAATTAAACAAAAAGGTTTTATTTTTCCACAAATTGAAAATATGTTTATTTGTATTTTATGAATCATAAAACATACTATTATCTGATACTAGTCTACTTAGTATATACATATTCTGAATTTTTTAACACTAATTTTTTTATGCTAGGTTTTCCACCTTATTGGAGTAGAATATTTAGATTTAACTAGAAAATTGTTTTAACCTTATATCCAACTTGTACTTACATAAAAAGGAAAATATAAACTAATCCAAATGACTTACTCAGCATTGTCAAGGTCCATGATTTTTCATACAGTATTGTTTTGTGTGCTGTCAAGAGCATTGTGATGCTGCATTTCTTAATAGAATCAGTATAAAAGCTAAACGCCAGGGATGTAGGCTTTTAAACCGGATTTGCAGTTATTGATGTGTAAAGTTAGTCATTTTTGTGTCCAACAGTCTTGGTTCTAAGGGGTTAGAGTGCCCCACAATTGTTTCCAAGATTTACTTCTTAGCTACTGACATTCATTTTCCAAGCTTGGTGTTTGTATTCTGATGTTCACACATGGATAATCCATGACAACTATGACTGCTGCTTGGCTAACAGTGGTTTTAAGACATCATCGATTGTTAAGACATAGTCCTATTTTCAGATATATCGTAACAGGAAAACAACATGCATCTTAGAATCTATGAAATAAAGTATTCCCCAGTGTGCCTTCCTGAAACGCATAATTTAAAAATAGATACTTTCAAGAAGATATGTTAGCATCAGGCACCAATTCTATGTCTATAGCTTTAGAGGACTATATTTTCTGTATGACTTGGAGAGAATAGTTCAATTTAATTGATTAATACTGGCTTTTTATGTCAAAATGTTGCCTGTGTTTGTGAAGAACTAGAGAAAAAGTATAAATGATTGACCTGACAGTATTCACCACTTGCTCTTAGTTGTTATGTTTAAATTAGCATGGAATTTTGCTATCTTTTTTGCCCAAAATGCATACTTTTAAAAAACCTTGCCCATTCAAGTCTTTTTTTACAATTTGAAACCCTTCTGAACATTTCTGTGTTGGAGTAAGTTGAATGCTGTTCATAAAACCATAAAGTGTTAGTGCTACAAAGAATGCTATAGGGATGGAGAAAATGATGCCAAAATATGTTCCCCAGGTCATTCAGGTAGGTGGTAGCATAGATGGAGCTAAAACTCTTGATCCCTAGTCCAGTGTTCTTCCCTTCTGCGGGTGTTCAAGGGAGAGAAATCTTAGTTTCTGTTGCTGGTTGAGCCAATAAAGCCACTTCCTCATCCCTCTTTTCTGCTTATCACTAGAGACAGAAACTAAAAACCAAGGCTTTAGGCTGCTAAAAGCCTAAAACACAACAAAACAGAAAAACAACCACAAAATAAGGCGGATTGGACAAGCTTGTGACAGTGCTGCCTTTTAAGAATTGATAACTGATGGCTGGGCGCGGTGGCTCAAGCCTGTAATCCCAGCACTTTGGTAGGCCTAGGCGGGTGGATCACCTGAAGTCAGAAGTTCAAGACCAGCCTGGCCAAGATGGTGAAACCCCGTCTCTACTAAAAATACAAAAATTAGCTAGGCGTGGTGGCAGGCACCTGTAATCCCAGCTTCTGGGGAGGCTGAGGCAGGAGAATCACCCCAGCACGCAAGGCGGAGATTGCAGTGAGCCGAGATGGCACCATTGCACTCCAGCCTGGGCGACAAGAATGAAAACTCCATCTCAAATAAAAAAAGAATTGATAAATGCTAGAAGAAAGAAAAAAAGGAGAGAAATTATCATTTGATAAATAAAGATGTGTAAACCTTAAGCTAATAGAACATACATTTTTATCATATTTCATATAATTTTATGTCTTGTAAAGAAAGTTAACTAGCCCTTTCTCCATCATATTTTGCTCTAAATTATAGCTATTTTAAATTTTTTTTTTTGCTTCTTTTTTAAGCATAAAAATAGAACACATCCCTTGTAAATCTGTTTTATAGACTGGTTAAAACTAAACCTGGGTGATCCTGTCCTTCTGATCCTCCACATTGATAGACAGGTAAAGTGTAATTGTTCTTATGTCTAAAATGGGTGAAGGTATTTGAGTGGGAATTTACTGTGAGAATTAGCGGTCTTCATATAAGCACCTATAGTCATATCCATATATAATATATTATTTTTCAAAAAACTTTCTCACAATTGTGTGTGGGATTTCTCTAAACAGCCACACACCATTTTTACCCCAGCTTAGTTTTATTATCTAATCTGAATATGAAACGACTATTTGTGTGAGAAACAGGAGGTGCCTTTCTAGGTTCTGTCTTACATAGTGATGACATTTCCATGAAGATATACTTCTTGTACCACTGAAATTCATATCAGAAGAGGTAATTACTGATTCATTAGTTTTCTAATATAAAAAGCGTTACAAATCATATGCATAACACTTAAATTTTAAAATAAATGTATAGATATCCTGCATAATGCAAGTACTTTGACAAAGTCTTCTTCCTTATAATAGCTGGCCTTTTTACTATTTGGACTAGTGCTTATGGAAGAAACAATAACCTAAATCTGTGGTTCTCAGACTTTAGTATTTATTAGAATCATCTGGAGGGCTTGTAAGACAGGTTGCTGGGCTTCATCTTCAGACTTTCTGATATAGTAGATCTGGGATGGGGTCTGAGAATTTATATTTCTAACAAATTCTCAGATGATGCTGAACCTATTGCTACAGGTACCATACTTTGAGAACCACCAACCTAGGCAAATTAAAAACTTAGAAAGTGAGAGAACTGTATTATCTTTCATTTGACATGGCAGGATTGGAAGAGTAGGTTTTTAATTCCCAGTATACACTTGTTAAATGTAGGCTGTTGAGGGGTTATCTTGCCATGCTCTCTTGCTCAATTTTTTAAAAGGGAAGTGAGAACCACTGTGAAAAGGCATTCTGTCATCTCCATGAAAGAGCTTTCCATGAGTTCAAAAACAGTCATCAAGTTATTGAACAGAAATATACTTTGGATGTTGTGACAAACCTGAACCATATATGCTTTCTAACATCTTTGACTTAAAGAGTAGCAGTGTGAAATTTCTAACCTAGAAATAGGCAGACTTTTCAGCTATCAACATATCAACCCCCTTTGAACTATTCTGTTGTTTTTGTTGTTTTCTAAAGAAATAACATGCAGAGTTCAGAATCAACCACTGAGTATTTGTTCATTACCTTTGTAGTTTTATTAGCCAACAGAAAATTTTTGTTTATCACTATGATGGTAAAAATAGTTGTTTATCTAACACTCCTTCATACACACAGACATTCACATACACAGCCAGTTGATATGCACTTAGAGGCTTGCCATAAAATAAAATTATCTACCACAAACTCCATATTCTTGATGAAAAATTTCCTTGTAAAATAAAAAGTGTATTAGAGGCTTCTAAGTTAGACATCTTTAAAGAGAATAGTGATCCATTCATTCAACAAATACTGTTAACCTACTTATTTTTCTAAGTGCCTTTGGATACAGTAATAAACTTGACCAATAGAGTCCCTGCTCTCAAAGAGCTTCTATTTTAGTGGGCAGAAGAGACAACAACAATAAAATGATAAATATTAGATATTGGTAAGTGTAAGAAATTCAAGTAGACTGGAATTTAGAGAGTGACTAAGTCACTACTGAGGTCGGGGAGGTATCTCTAAGAAGGTGACATTTAAGATTAGATATGAATCAAGAAGGAACCAGCATATTCTCTACAGAGGGAACAGTCGGTACAAAGGTCCTGAAGTGAGAATGAGCTTGGCTTGTTAAAGGAACCAAGGAAAGGCTGTTGGGCCGTAGCAGGCAAGGGGAAGAGTGACCTGAGGTTGGATAGGTGGACAGGGCTGGATCACTAGACTCTCATCCAACATTAGGAGTTTAGATGTTATCGTAAGTGACATAGATTGACATTGAAGGGTTTTAAGCAATAGAAATACTTGATCTGATAAATTTTTTAAAACATAATCTTTGGCCATTATGTGAAGATTGAATTACTGCCAGGCAAGATTTGAATTGAGGAAATCAATTAGGAGGCTAATTATAGTCATTTAGAGGAAAGATGATGTTGGCTTGTACTGTATGGAGTATGGCATAAGAGAAGATTTAGAAAGTGAACTTAGGAGCATTTTCTATTAAGAGAATTGAGATTTGGGGAGATGTAGAGAGCCACTTCTGCCTTACTGATAGTCTTAGGAAAGGAATTGGGGTCTTCATGCATCATCTTCACTATCACTGTTACTATGGTTTGTACCCCACAAAAACTTGTCTGTAGGGCTGGACTCTTCTATTACTATTGCTCAATTGGCTTCCTACTTTGGTTGGTTCTGTTAAACTTGTCATTGCTAGAGCAGTTGCCTGCTTTCAGTAAGAGCCCTGTGCCAGTCTTCCTGTGCTTTCAGGACCATAGATTAATCATAGAATTGATTATGTGGAAGAGTAGTAGTATGTTTATCTTACTCCTAGACTCTTGAGGGTATGGATGTTGCTTGGAAGGCTCTACTAATGTCTTGGGAAGAGTTAAAGTCATGGGGTAGATATTAAGTACATGTATGTTAAATGAAAGAAGCCAGACATGGAAGACCATGTATTATTTGATTCTGTTTACGTGAAGTGTCCCCAAAAGGCAAATCTGTAGAGACAGAAAGTAATTAATGGTTGTTTGGGGCTGGGCATTACAGGGATTAACTGTGAATGGACATAAGGGGTCTTAGTTGGGTGATGAAAAATGTTCTAAAACTAAGTATGGCAATGGTTGCACAGCGTGGTAATTTACTAAAAAGTGTTGAATTATACGCTTGAAAGGGTCATTGTTATGTGAATGATAATGCAGTAAAGTGGTTAAAAAAATGAATTATAACAAGTTAGCTAGATAGGCAAAAGGGCAGAAGGCATTCCCAACAGAGAGAGAAGTGTAGTTAAAAGAGAGAGTCTTAGAAGCACTTTAGG